CCCCCACACACACACACACCTCCCCCTCCGTGGGCGGGAATAGCAACAGTAGGCAGTGAAAGTGAAGCGCACGAGCGCGAACAGACTGCCGCGGGAAGAAGAGGACGAGGCTGTGGCGGCGGCTGTGGTCGATCGGGGTTCGCGGAGGGGGCGAGGAGGCGGCCCCTGCATGCGTCTACAGCCGCGCATGGACGACCACCTCAGCCTCCTGCACTCACCCCCGCCGAGCGCGACCAAGACCCGCGGCGACAACCTGGTGAACCACGGCTACACCGAGACGGAGGCCGACGTGATGACGGTCGTGGCGTGTGACAACATGCTGGAGGAGTCGGCGGCTCTACCGGGCCACCACTCTCTGGACCGGTACGAGCCGGACCACGAGTGCTGCGAGAGGGTGGTCATCAACATCTCGGGGCTGCGCTTCGAGACGCAGCTCAAGACTCTGTCCCAGTTTCCAGAGACGCTTCTGGGGGACCCTAAGAAAAGGATGAGGTACTTTGATCCTCTCAGGAACGAGTACTTTTTTGATCGGAACCGACCCAGCTTTGATGCCATCCTGTATTACTACCAGTCTGGTGGGCGCATCAGGAGACCCGTCAACGTGCCCATTGATATTTTCTCCGAGGAGATCCGCTTCTATGAGCTGGGAGAGGAGGCGATGGAGAAGTTCAGAGAGGATGAGGGGTTTATAAAGGAGGAGGAGCGGCCGCTGCCAGAAAACGAGTTTCAGAGACAGGTGTGGCTGCTCTTTGAGTACCCGGAGAGCTCGGGTCCCGCGCGGGGAATAGCAATAGTATCCGTCTTGGTCATYCTCATCTCCATTGTCATTTTCTGCTTAGAGACGCTGCCAGAGTTCAGGGATGAGAACAGGGACCCCATCACCATCGCGCCAGTCATAAACGGCACGCTCCCGTATCTCGTCAGCCCCTTCTCAGACCCTTTCTTTGTCGTGGAGACGCTGTGCATCATCTGGTTCTCCTTCGAGCTGCTCGTGCGCTTTTTCGCCTGCCCGAGCAAAGCCACGTTCTCCAAAAACATCATGAACATCATCGACATCGTGGCCATCATCCCCTACTTCATCACGCTGGGCACGGAGCTGGCGGAGAGGCAGGGGAACGGACAGCAGGCCATGTCCTTGGCCATCCTGCGCGTAATCAGGCTCGTGCGGGTGTTCCGCATCTTCAAGCTCTCGCGTCACTCCAAGGGGCTCCAGATTTTAGGACAGACCCTAAAAGCCAGCATGCGTGAGTTGGGCCTGCTCATCTTCTTCTTGTTCATCGGGGTCATCCTCTTCTCCAGCGCGGTGTACTTCGCCGAGGCGGACGACCCGGATTCGGGCTTCAACAGCATCCCGGACGCGTTCTGGTGGGCTGTCGTCACCATGACTACAGTGGGATACGGGGACATGCACCCCGTGACGATCGGGGGCAAAATTGTGGGCTCTCTGTGCGCGATCGCCGGCGTGCTGACCATCGCCCTGCCCGTCCCCGTCATCGTCTCCAACTTCAACTACTTCTACCACAGGGAGACGGACGGYGAGGAGCAGGCGCAGTACCTGCACGTGGGCAGCTGCCAGCCGCTGGCGGACACGGAGGAGCTGAGGAAGACGCGCTCCTCCTCCTCCTCCTCGCTCAGCAAGAGCGAGTTCATGGTGATAGAGGAGCACGGCTTGAACAGCGCGTTCAAACAGCAGCCCAACTTCCCCACCACCGCGCAGAACAACTCGCAGAACTGCGTGAACATTAGCAAAAAGATTTTCACCGACGTGTAGCCAGGTTTGAAGCAACGAGCCCCTCCCGGGCGGCCGCGGAGAGAGAGAGAGAGAGAGAGAGAGAGAGAGAGAGAGAGAGAGAGAGAGAGAGNAGAGAGAGAGAGAGAGAGAGAGAGAGAGAGAGAGAGAGAGAGAGAGAGAGATGCGTCAAGGCGCAGCTGGTTGTGCCATTACGCAGCGGTGTGAGTTGGAGGATCAGAGAAAAAGGAAGAACGAAGGAACGCATCCTTCCTGTTTCAGAGATGCAGCTCTGTGTTCCATTCAAATAATCAGGATTTATTTCCTTATTATTTTTTTTCTAGATATGAATTCCCTCTGATCCGTCCGCGCTAAGAAGAAAGAGCTTCCTTTAAAGTATTCGCTCCACTTCTCCTCTCCGGGTGAGGAGAGAAACCTGTTGTGCAATAGTCGGTGTATTAATATGCATCACAGCAGACATGAATAGAAGCTTTATTACTGTAAAAAACGAGTCCTTGAGGGATACTGTATTACCATACGTTAAGAGTCGTGATGTTATAGCCTGTGTATAATATCCAGTCAGTTAAATATGTGTGTAAGTGTGTGTTCAAACACATGTAATGTCAGGTAAACACATTCCAGCATATGATATCTCATAGAAACCGTTCTGTTGTGTGCCTTGTGCGTAAAGTCTAGTCTAACTGCTGCCGTCTTTTCTTTCTTTCATCTAAAGTAAAAAGTAATTACTCCTTACAGTTCCTCGTGTACACGTGGCCACGTAAATACTATAGAGCCATCACAGGATCAAAACACACGTGAGTGGAGAAGCACACACACAGCGATCAAAGATGGAGCGTGTTTATCTTCCGAAAGCTTCAAATATAGCCCCGCTGTGATGCAGTCTCCATGGCGACGGTCGTTTCCCGGTAACCCCAAGTCACCGTTGCCATGGCACCCTTGTTTCCACAGTAACCTCCCAGATGGGTTGGAAGCTATTTTGAAGATTTTCATCTGAATGGATGGCCTCGTCTCGTCTTCAGCCTCTCTAATTAGACTGCTCGGTTTTCACGCTTTTGGTGGAAAAACAAACAAGAAAAAAAATCATTCCAGGATTTTTGCAGTGTCACCACGGCTCATCAGCAAGCTTATTGTGTGACTTTAATAGTAAAACAGACATTCAAAAAAGACAAGGAGGAGGTCTGCCACGATGAACTGGACAACATCTGTCACAGGGAGGCGCTGCAGTGCGGGAGGAATTATGAATGGATCACCTGGGTGCAGTACTGCGGCTGGCCAGCAGGGGAGACTGCTGTAACACTRATCAAATCGGTGAGTTCCTTTGTTTATGTCTATAACAACTGCATTTCTCCTTGTCTGGATTTGCAAACAAAAGAAGTCCATAGCCTACTGTAAAATATTCAGTTCAGAGAAAAAAATATCATGAGATCATAAGACTTTAGTTATTACAAAATGCTCCTTCATAAGATTAAACAGCTCCACACAATCCTTACATTTGTTTCATAAACAGTGTCAAAAACCCAATTTAAGGTTCTATACGTGTTTAGAGTATAAGCAGGGTTTGTGTGTGTGTGTGTGTGTGTGTGTGTGTGTGTGTGTGTGTGT